TAATGTACCTAGCCAATGGTCAAATGGTTAAAATCCCGAATACTATGACAGAGGACATGGGACTAGCTACGTTCCACAAGGTCTCCCTGGCACTCCTACCAAGTTGCGAAAACAAGGTCGAACCAACACAAGAATATATCCAGCCTATGTTAATGGTAGGCATAAGACTCAATACAATTTGGCTTCTATTTTGGTCGCGAAATCTTCAGTGTATAGAAGTGGTTTGGCCTAATTTTCGCAAATTGTCAGGGTAGCCTAGATGAGCCGAAGCCCCAGCTTTATGCCATGGGATTGGTACATTCCCAGAAGTTTCGGCAGTAATGCTCACTGATAATGTCGACTACTGTGTTGGCTCAACTTCTGGGAATGTACCAAGTCCTCGATCCGGGTGCTGGACTTCATCATGACAGAGGAATTTGGACAAGGTTGCCCTGACAACCTGACCAAAGAACACTTTTGTGGAAAGCAGGGCTAATGAAAATTAAATGGAAACGTCAGATCTACTCATATCAATATGGGAAAATTCAACTACCACTCCTTCATTACCCTAAACAAAATAGTGTGAACATAACTCGTAGATCTGTTTTACTGGTAGTCACGAAAACCTACTCAAAATGAAATATAAGATATGATGACCAACATGATGTGTCATTCTGTTTTGTCATAGTCTCTTTTACCTTTATAGTGCTGGTTTGAACTCGTTTTTGCATCCTGGTCGGAGCATTAGGGAAACCTTGTGAAACGTACCTAGTCCTGCGTCTTCTGACATAGCATTCGTAATTTCTAGTATCGGGCCATTGACTTGGTATATTCCCAGACGCTTCACCGACATCGTCCGTGAGAGGCCCTATCGTCATCACAGAGTTGCAACATATCAACATGACAAGTGAAAACAGTCCCTTTGACAAATTTTCTGTTCACCTGTTATGAAATCACTCTTTGCCCTTAGTATTGGTCCTACTTTCTAGGACTACCTCTCTTTCTCTCAACCTTACCGCATATCGTCCGTTTACCTATTGACACCATTCTGCGCTCTCGTTTCCTGCAATGTCACCTAAAAATGTGCTGCTACAACTTAATTTTGTGAAGTATACTCATCTCAAAAATCACAGGAGACATAGTTGGACCTGGGGCTGCCTATAGATCCCATATTTATCCAACTTCTTCTGGTGCCTTTTTAACGATTCAATTCGAAATCATTTTTCACAGTTTGTCTGTAATTTTCAATAGTTTCAGAAAATCCTCCTACGTGAGAATCCGATTTAATATCTAAAGATTTAAATAATTTCCTCTCTCCCTATCATATGCCTTCTCTAATTTTTGAGCTGGAGGAAAGGTGAGCGCAGAATTGTGTGATTGGGTAACTGGGTCATATGAAGAGAGGTTGAAAGAAAGCGATACAGCGCTAGAAGGCAGGACAAAGGATAAGAGCGAAGAGTGATGCCACAACGGTTGAACAGATAATCTGTCAAGGAGATTGACAACACTTGTCACTTTGATAAGTTGTAACTCTTTGCTAACAATAGCGCCTCTCACTGACGATGCCGACGAAACATCTGGGAATGTGCAAAGTAATTGGTCCGATGCTGGAAATAACGGATACTATGACGCAGGATCAGGTACGTTTCACAAGGTTCCCTTTTCGCTCCAATAAAGTTGCCACAACGAGGTCAAACCAACACCAGAGTGACTGAATTCCTATCAAAGAAGTTCTGATGGTTTCATCATCTACTTACATTGAAAACCAGTATTTTAGGACTGTCCAGTCACCAGTGTACTAGATTTGATTCCTTACTTACATTTTTGGTTGTCTTCTTTTCCAATCTCAGCAGAATGTCGTCACCCCATGCTCTGCGGCCTGTGGACGATGCTGAGCGATCTTTAAGTCCCAAGAGGCTGAAGTCGCACGCCAGCAACAGCGTAACTAGCGGACCTGGTGGAAACGGAGCTGAAGCCTACACAAATGGGGCGTCGACACGACACATTAAAAAGCCGTTGAATGCGTTCATGCTATTCATGAAGGAGATGCGATCTCGGGTTCAGGAAGAATGCACCCTCAAAGAGTCGGCCGCCATCAACCAAATTCTTGGCAAAAAGTGGCACGAATTGAGTCAAGCCGAGCAGACGCGCTATTATGACATGGCTCGGCAAGAAAAGGAGCGTCATCAAGCCCAATATCCGGGCTGGTCAGCACGTGACAACTACGCCTTCCATGCGCGTCGGAAACGGCGTCGTCGTGAGATGACGTGCCGGCTGCGTCGAGAAAGCGGTACCCCGACGACTCGTGGCATCAAGTCACACGAACGCCCGACCGTCGAGGCGGAAGAAGAGGAGGAGCCGGAGCCGGGGCGAGAGGAAGAGGGGGAAGAGGAGGAAGAGGAGGAGGAAGAAGAAGAGGAGGAGGAGGAGGAAGAGGAGCATCATCACCGGGTCGATCCTGTCTGCTCATCTGCTTCTTTCGTCTCCGGAAAGGCCAGTCGCAGACCGGCTTCACAAGCCCGAGGCATGATCGCCAATCAGCCCTCTTCGGCACCGGCCAAATTCGCTCCGGCCGCCATCCGTCGAGTCCCACTTGTCGGACCGGTCGGTCCGTTGCGTAGCCCCTGCGGCAGCCGGAACGCTCGGCCTCCGCCGAGACCTTCCAGTCATGAGCCACGTCGACTCAGTGGAGCTGTCAATCGAACTGGCTCCCCGTTCGACTGGTTCGACAACAACGACAACGAAAACGAAGAGGACGAGGAAGCGATACCAGAAGGATTGGAGGAGGAGGAAGACGGCCCGATTGACCACGACGGCCTGCCATTAAAGTCGCCTCGACGCGGTTGGTTGGCCGCCTCCCAGTCGCCGCGCGGGATTGCCAGGCCTGCCACGCCAAAGGTTGCTACCGCTTCACCGACCAAGTCGCAATCCCACTTTCCCAGCCTGACCTCCTCCTCCTCCTCCTCCTCTTCTTCCTTCTCTTCCTCATCTTCTTCCTCCTCCTCTTCCTCCTCCGGGTCCACAACTCACGCCCAATTTCCCAGCTCCACTGTCGTCCCTCGATCCTGTCTACTGCCGCAAACCCACCCGGACTCGTACCACGCCTCAGTCAGTTCTGCCATCACAACCTCAGTCAGCACCACGACCCCAGCCACCACCTCTTCGTATTCTTCGCGCACTCACAACTCCTTATCTACGCATCCCCTTTCCTCATCTCTTCAATTTCCTCCTCCATCTCCAGCTCCTCAGGCCGGACTGTCGTCGCTTCATCCACCCGCCTTCTTCACGCCCCCACCCGCCACTTCCTCAACCACTTGTCTGTCTGGCAATGGTGCTCCCTTTCCCTACTCTTCCGCCTCTTCTTCCGTTTCATCTTCTCCTTTCTCCTCGGCCTACATGACCCCCTTCTCTGGAGGGGGACACATGGCTCCGGCTCACATGGAACAGCATCACTTCAGTGTGCCATCATGCTACTCCACTTCCACTGGTTTCACACAACAGCATCATTTTGCCGGTCGCACTTCAACTACCGGCCATTATTCCCACACTTCGACTTCACCACTCTCGGCTCATTCTCTTCCTCCCCCTCATCCTCCTCCTCCTCCTCTTCCACCTCCACCTCCGCCCCATCTACTCCCTTCTCTTTCTTCTCCACTTTTTTCCAATCCTCATCCGGCGCAAACTGCTCACAACTACCAGCATCATCAGCATCACCCTCACAGTCAACACCAACACCAGCCTCAACAGCATTCCATACAGCATCATCAGCATCAGCATCAACAACACCATCAAAACCAGCAACACCATTCACGTTATGCATCGGGTCAGCCAATGCGTCATGCCTATTTGCATTCAGCGAATCATGCAGCCACGGGAAGCGTTGGTGGACATGCGAACAATTCTGCGGCAGCGGTTGCAGCAGTCGCGGCAATCGCGGCGGGAGAATTGTCCGGAGGAAGCTTGAAAAAGTGCAGAGCTAGATTCGGCCTGGAGCATCAGAACCTTTGGTGCAAGCCTTGCCGGTCAGTATTTTCACAAAGCAAGCCTACGCTACTCTAAAGGCATATAAGTAACTTGTATCATATGGATGTAACTCTTGGCTCCTATAATTCTGGTCAATCCATGAGCAGTTATGTGGCTAATCTCCTAAAAGTTAAGACTTCAACTCACCAGCATTTACTTAGTCAATTTCCACTATGAAGATCAAATCCCTATTCCACTGAAATGGTTTGGAAATCAAAATATTTGTCTATAGTAGGTTGCGTGACTACAAGTAGATATTGAAAAGCGCTGTATTCACTCTAGGTCGCATCAGGTAGTGAAGTGAATTTTGCAGCAATAATATCAGAAGGACTTTAGTTTCCACCTTGCCTTGATCCCATCCCGATGGGAGGACATTTTTTAGGACAGGTCATTGCTAAATTCAATTTAAGCATAATGCCTAATCATGTAGATGACGGAAAACTCAACTACTAGTCCTTCATCAACTTAAATGGCCTCGGGTGAATCGTTGTTCAAGATCTGTTCGTAGTTTCACAGCCTACTCTATACGAATATAAGTAATGTAGTCGATTGTAGTAGCAAAGAAAATACTACTTCATTGAAGGTATGAAGACCAAAATGCCGTGATCTTTTGTATGGTCGCGGTCTTCTTTCGTTGTATAGTATATATTTGATGTTGTTTTCGCAATTTAATCGTATTGCCAAGATGACCTAGAGGAACTCATCTTGTCCTGTGTCCGTAATATGCATGATAATTTCCAGAGTCGGACCGTGCACATGGTACATTCTCAGACGTTTCACCAGTATTGTAGTCGGCATCCGCAGTGAGCCTTGCTATTCTTAGAAAAGCACTACAACTCGGCATATGACGTGAACTCACCAAATCACTGTGCAACTCACATTAATAGATTTAGAGTATACAAAAAGCATATGGTGATAAGCCAATGAATGTTTTCGATTTGTTAGCCCATATTTTTTGGAAAAATGATACTCTACCCCAGTGTAACCCTTTCACGTAGCATATAAAATGAAAAATCATATATATGAGATGTATTCATCCTATTCAGTTTAAGGTGATAAGGTAACTGGTAGTTTCATTTTAGCACAATACTTTGAGTATACCTGACGTTTTCATTGAATTTCATATGGACTCGATTCCCAAAAGGTATTTTCATCCGCTCTGGCGTCCACCCTGGATGAGTATACCCTTTGGAAAAACAGGGTTATATGAAATTCAATGGAAGCGTCAGGTCTACTCATATTAATGTGGGAGAATTCAACTACTTGTCGCCCTATCACCCTAAACGAAAAAGGATGAGTACATCTCATATATATGATCTAATGGAAATCTCAAAGGCCTTCTAATAAACGCAAAATGAAAGCTTAGTCCATGTTGTAAGGACATGATCAACAGGATATTTCGTTTTTAAGTAGGTTTTCGTGACTACATAACTCATAGGATCAACTGGAGATTTTTAATTAGTCCAAACAACAACTGGCTAAGTTAAGTCCTTCGTCGTCTTCTGGTGGGTACAACCTGCGAATTTCCTCGTCCCACACCTTTACTCCAAATGGAAGTAGGCTTTGCTTGATGTGAATCAGTTTTTGATAACAAGAGAAATGTGACTATAAGGGATTTGTGATTTGGGCTCATCGGAAGCCGAGGGGGGTGTATATAAAGAAAGACTAATTTTCAGAGAATCCCTTACTAATTTAAGATGACTTAACTCTAAAGTTAAAAGTAAAATTTGGTTGTAGGAGATTCGTAAATTGGCCGCACTGGAAACCTAAGTTGGATTTTACGACTATCAATAATACTTGAATAATGCCTTTAGTCAATCTGAGTTGTAATTTCAAAAAGGAGTTTTCCCACAACTAGATGAATAGGCCTTACTATGTCACTGATTCACTTGCCAAAAGCTATTCTTATTCAGAGTGGACTATAGTTTAAACCTCATCTTTATCTCAGCAGCATAGCCAATGTTGTTCGGTATCGCGTCGTGAGCATCTTGATGATGTTACTACTCCACTCCACTCCATGGCTCTAGGTGTAAATGGATATATATATTTGTTTATTTATTTATTTATTCATTTATTTATTTATAAACAAGCAGGAGTGAATCGATTAGTTTAATGACTCGGTTTCGGCATCTGCTTGCTACAAATATAAGGTTTAGTGACTTAACAGACGTTAGATGATAGTATGACTCGAATTTATATTTATAAGAAAAAGCTGGTTGTAAGGACTCCATGAATTGGCCCCACGGTAAATCAGAGGGCTACTTATTTAAATCGACGAGGAGTTAAGGGCTTATTCGCAAAATCCAACAGTCTTCATTCCAAGGCATTCCTCTTCATATTTCCGGTGAGGCTAATTCACGAATTCCCGTAAGACGCCTTTTTCCTGCAATGAAAAGTTAAATCGCATTTTATTTTATAGGGCTTTTTTCGAAAACCAGTAATTCTTCCTAAAGTTAGCTCAACTGTTTTAAGGCTTAACAATGTTTGTAATTGACATTTCTTCTTATACTTAAAATAGGCTTAGAAAAGATTCGATCCAAGATTAGGAACTTAAAACAATTTCTTTTTAAGCCTCGATTATGAAGAAAGCATATCCCAAAAGAGTAAAAGCACATGTTGATACGCCTTTCCTTCTCATTAAATCCCCTTTAGCCGGAAGAAGAAATGTATCCGCTTCATTTCGGAGTCCGATGCCGAAGATATGTCAGGGGCGGGTCACCATGGCTCCAGTCTATCCTCGAACCTGCTTCATCACACCGGTTCCCATTCACACGGTCTTTCGACGCCTGTCACCAGCAGCAGCGGTAACAGTGGCACCATCTCGGCCGGTCACTCACACTCCTGTTCACATGCTCACGTACACCCGCATGCGCCACCGGCCCACCATTCCGCCTTCCTGACGACCGGGCCTGGCTCTGGTGGCGGCCCGGAAACCAGTGGCTTCGAGTCCCACCTCGCGGCAGCAGCGGCAGTGGCGGGCTTTCGGATGAGCGACTTTGCTCGCCGCGGTCTCGCCGGCCTAATGGCCGGCCAGCAGCTGAACTCCTCGCCAGGCTATGCAGCCAGTAGAGTTCCGGTCCGGCCGGGCCTACCTCCGGTCTCGGCGAGCGCGTCGCAGCTCGCCTCACTCGTCGCCTCATCGGCCGCCGTCTACTCGGCCGCTGGTTCTCGAGCTCATCGCTCACCAGCCTCGGCTCATTCAGGGTCGCCGCGACGCCTCGAAACTAGCCTCTGCCTGCCCACTCCCAATTCTGGCCCTCTCGAGGCGGTCGGCCTGACACGCGGCTATCCCACCAGTCAACAGGGCGCCACTGCGCCGGGCTCGAGCCCCGGCTGGTTGTTCCCACCCCGGCCACCCGGCTCTTGGTACCACCAACACCAGCATCAGGCTGCTGGAGCCCAGACCGCCTCGGCCGTCTCGACTCTCACCAACCTCAACAGTGCTTCAATGGCTTCTGCCGTAGCAGCTGCCGCCGCAACCACCACCACCACCAACAACAACAACAACACCACCACCACCACCACTCGATCGGCAGTCTTTCAGTGT